CAGCCCGGTTCGGCCCGCTCCTGCTCCCCGCACCAAGTCAGTGGTGCGCTTCGTCAGCCCGGCTCGGCCCGTTCCTGCTCCCCACACCAAGTCAGTGGTGCGCTTCGTCAGCCCGGTCCGGCCTGCTCCTGCTCCCCGCACCAAGTCAGTGGTGCGTTTCGTCAGCCCGGCTCGGCCCGTTCCTGCTCCCCACACCAAGCCAGTGGTGTGCGTCGTCAGTACGGCACAGCCCGTGCCTGTTCCACCGGTGCCTGGTTCGGCACGGGTCAGCTGCGTCACGCCGGAGCTAGAGCAATCCTCTCCACCAGTGTGCAGTCCAGCTCCGGTCAGCAGGGTCAGACCGGACCAGGGGTACTTTGGGGGGTTGGAGAGGGAGTGGGGATCATGCCCGGAGCCGGATCCGCCTCCAAGGCGGAGTGCCCACCCGGTCCCTCCCCTGTGGTGTTTGGTTGGCGCGGTCGGAGTCCGTGCCTTTGGGGGGGGTACTGTCACGCCCTGGCTCTGGGGACTCTAGTATGTTGAGCCAGGGTGTGAGTTTTCATTTGTGTTTGTTCTGGTTTTGTATATCTATGTTGGCCAGGGTGGCTCCCAATCAGAGACGGCTGTAGCTCGTTGTCTCTGATTGGGAGTCATACTTAGGTAGCCGTTAGGCATTCATTTGGTGTGGTTTCTTGTTCCGTGTTGGTTTGTGAATGTAACCAGGGACGTCACGTTTTCGTTTTGTTCGTGTGATCATCAATTAATAAAAATGTTCGCATTCAACGCTGCGCCTTGGTCCTCCTCTGTTCCCGACGAGCGTGACAATATGTCAACTTACCCATGGTCTCTTACTTGCTGTTTTTCAGCAACAGTTTTCAAACTTTCCGTGTTGTTTAAGTAATTACAGATGCCGAAAGGGTCTAAATACTTATGTAAATGTGATATTTCCGTTTTTTATGTTTAATAAATGTGCAAACATTTAGATAAAAACCAGTTTTTGCTTTGTCATTATGGGGTATTGTGTATAGATTGATGAGGGGGGGGAAAAAAATATTTAATCAATTTTAGAATAAGACTGATACGTAACAAAATGTGGAAAGAATCAAGGGGTCTGAATACTTTCCAAATGCACTGTATAAACAGGATAGACGTGGTGTAGGCTTCACAGTTCAATGAAACGCTTACTGGCAGCAATCTTATTCTCTCATCATGTGGCTATTTTCATATTCATATTTTATAGTCTATTTTTATCATGTCATGTTGCTTTAGCACGGATCTAACGCATGTTTGCAGTCTAGGCTTTATGTTTGGTTTCAGCCCACTGGCCTACTCTTCTCCCCGCAACACGTTGTGCTGTTTCCTCTCCCCTCGCTATCACTCTCTGTTAATTATATTTGAATGTAGGGAACGCCATATAACACCTGAAACACAAGAAAAACAAACAGAAAATGCATCCAACAAGTTTGAAGAGGCACAAGCTAGAGGTAATCATTGTGTGCTAGGAATATGGGACCAAATACTAAACTTTTGACTACTTTAATACACATATAAGTGAATTTGTCCCAATACTTTTGGTCCTCTAAAATGGGGGGACTATGTACAAAAAGTGCTGTTATTTCTAAACGGTTCACCCGATATGGATGAAAATACCCTCAAATTAAAGTGCCCTTGCATTACTGCAGTTCAGTGCCCTTACATTACTGCAGTTCAGTGCCCTTACATTACTGCAGTTCAGTGCCCTTACATTTCGGGTAAACGGTATGTCTATAGTGGGCTTCAACTCACAGGCCTAGCGACAGCACACTAAGAGAATCACAGCATTTCAGGCAACTATTAGGTCTCGTTGCTTTGTCTCGTGCCATCTTGGCCCATTCATATTCAATCAGCATGACTAATACTGAGCTACTTCCTATTCTACAGCATCCCTCAGACAAAACGGTTTCCCTCCGCGTTGACGTCTTCTTACTGGGATACCTATCACTTTTATTCCTTCACGTGACTTAGGTTTTTTCGGATCCGGTCTTTTCACCTTAATCACTAATCGCCTCACTCTTAATCATTCTAAATCAGGTTCCTGGTGTGCTGTTGTAACCGGTGTGAAATGGCTAGCTAGTTAGCGTTAATCATATCACATATCACATTACATGGTTGGGTAGCCAAACATGCAGACGTCTGATTTCAACCAATCACATTAAACAATATTTGATTTCTGCACTCAGTGTTCTTGCACTAATAAACATTTCATATAATACTTTACATTACGGCGTAATTGCACTCTTGTTCTATTCTTCGCATGCGTCTAATTTTACATGTAATCGTACATTTTTCTTTCATCTTCAGATCCAACCGTTGCTCGGCTGTGTCCATAGTGAGTGACTTATTTACGTTGGGGGGGGTTTCAGGCCAACCGCCCAGCATAGGGCTCCACGTCATCAGCATCTGGATCTGAGGAGCATTCCTCGGAGACGAGACCATAGCCCAAACTATTTAATCGAATTAAATAATAATAAATAAAATCCATATTGCATTCCGTCTCCGGTGTTCATTCAGTTAAGCCTGTACTTGTGTGTGCTGTACATTACAATGCACTCTTTAAATTAAATGTTCATACAATTTAATACAATTTATTGTGGCGGATTTGAGGGGTTTGAGCCCCCCCCCCCAGACCAGGTCTTGAACACAGGTCCCTGCAACTGTCAGTCTAACGCCTTTAGGGTCATTCCACCAATTAGGTGCCTTTTTGTGGTGTAACTTGTTGAAAACAAAACAAAACATGTTATTTCACCTAATTTTAACGTAATAGCAAACACGTTTTCCAATCTCAAGATGTTAAATTAAAAAAGATATATAGTAAGGCCTATTAAGTGCCAAATAAAGTAACAAGGTTGACGACTTCATCTTAAATCAGCCATAAATACCCTTGTGACAGGGGCAATGGAGGCTTGTTGTGTGCAACAGGGAGTGGCAATTGAATGCAAGCTCCACTAAAAAAATGCAGATTGTTAAAACATTTCTATCCTGTCTATCTATGGTTAACAGGGTTGATGTGTTATGCTCGACCCGCTCAGTTTTCCACCACAAAACAAGTGGCCAAAAAGAGTAGAACCAGCTCACCTGCGTTTACGTGATGATTTGATTATTAGATATTCAATGTCTCTTTTGAAAATAATATTCACCATATTAAAACAAGAGTTCAGTTCACGTAACAGGGTAGACCTCAAAATGAGGGACATGCTTGCGTTACAATGATTGTGAGACTGATGGTGTTAAGGGCGTTAAAATCATCCTAGAAAGTCACAGAGGATGCACAGAGGGACATGTCAAAATGCTTAATTAGCAAGTCTTTATTCATGTAAATAAATCTGATTTATTGAATTGTTAATGTGGCCTATATTAAAGGGCACTTCATTCAATATCACAGGCTTTTAAAATGCAATATTTGTGCACAATTTACACTTAAAATATCTAAGCGACGCAAAAGGCACTCATTTCGTGGAACGACCCTTTTAACCAATATGACAAAAAGGTCAAAACCTCTTTACGAGGTCGCTACACCACACCCTCTTTCTTCGGTGTGGGAAAAGCGCGTCTACGGGAAACGTTTTCATTGGCCTCACTCAGTGCAATCCCATTTCTGACACCAATGTGGCGAATTCAGGTGTGGCCCAAGACTTGAACCCGGGAACCCTGAGATTTTAGAATGCTATTTTGCCAAAGAAGGCAGAACAAAAAAAATACATTAGGAATTTCTTAAACATTTTTTATAAGACAAGTGTTAACTGATGAAGGTCATTGTTGGTGAGAATGTCAGTGAAGTAGCCATACAGTTTATGGAAATCAATAAACGTGGGAGGGTTATAAAATTATCACTGCCTATATAGATTGCATTCTTCAAATGTTGCCAACTGAAACTCTTACATAAGCCTTTATTGTTGCTGAGTCGATCAGAGAGACTGATGGTCTGATTGGCTCTTCTTATAAAGATAAAGTTATGTCCATTCACTGTTTGCTTTCTCCGCCAGGGATCTGAAAGGTTGAACTAACTGATTTTGCCTCGGTTTTCTTCCTCCTCATTATGAAATTTGACTGAGAAGACGAGATTTGTGTCTTTGGGGGGGGGGTTTGATGTGGGTGTTTCTTGGTCGTTGTCCCCTCGCATTTTTTGCTCCAACCTTCATTTAGATTGGTGCTGTCAGCTGGTTATGATAAATCAGCTGGCGAGGACATTTGCCAGTAAGCTAACAATGTATAATACTGTATCTAACAAGAGCAAAGGTAGGGGGGAAAAAAGATGAACACAGATCTGACTGAGTGACAGCAAACCCTGATTTAAGTTTGGACAACACACACACCTCCGCTCCTCCTGATCGGGAGCTTTCATGGTCTATAAACGTGCAAATAATTTTTGGCATTTTAAAACACTTCTGTTTTTCTGATTTTGAGTATAATCCAATCCAAATGTATCAACTGTCAATTTACGAAAACGAGTAGCCTTGTACCCTAGGCATTACCATCCCGCGTTAGTGGGCATGGTTGAAATCAAAACCCAAACATCAAATATGCCAAGGAAAGTGGAGACATCATCGATTCCTTAAATCTCAGACATTCTCGTTTTAGAAAATGCTGACTTCAAAGTTATCCAACTTACACTTTGTAGTCAATTCTGGGACTAGAACTGATGTTTATGACTTCTACCACTGCCACATAGGCCGTGTTTTTTGTTTTGTTTAATGCCCTTTTAAATTCAGTTTTAAAAACATATTTTGTTGTTGTCAACTTATTAGAGATCACTTAAGAAGTAGGAAAACAGAGAGCAGACATTTTTTGGGGACTAACGGCTAAATGTTGACCCCAAACTGCTTCAATCAGCACGTTTCACCTCTGGTGACAGTAGAATGTCCTAGAATGCCACCAATATTATTTTACAACTCAAGAGGATATCACCATTGGCAATCAGGAAAAAGAATGGGTGGAGTACAAGCCCTTTGAACAATAGCCCAACCACTCTGAGGTTTATGGGTATTTAGGATACAATACATTTGATTGAGCTTATCGTTTTCATAGAAGTGATTTCATCCAAGAGAACATACTCAACATTTTTTTTGTTTCCTTGGCAATTCAATTCAAAATGAGGTGAGATTATTTTAAAACGAATCCAAACCACTTTTATGCACTTGTTGAATACTTCTTTTGTACAATATTGTATATTTGATATGATTTTGTTGATGCAAATTCTAAGTTTAGGAACTGGGCATAAACATAAATTACAACAGTAAAAATCAAATGTAAAATTTGCTTTGATGATATATTGTGTTTGCAAGGAAAGGATTAACAAAGAAATTATAAATAAGCAAATCACGAGGATGGATAGGGGGGTAAAACATTATTTCAGGTTTTGATTTTGACATACCAGCTTCATTTCCAACTTCTTTAGGCGCTTCCACAGCGTTTCCCAAACTCTGTCCTCGGGGACCCCGAGGGGTGCACGTTTTGGTTTCTGCCCTAGCACTACACAGCCGATTCAAATAATCAAAGCTTGATGATGAGGTCATTATTTGAATCTGCTGTGTAGTGCTAGGGCAAAAATCAAAACGAGCACCCCCGTTGGGGTCCCCAGGACCGAGTTTGGGAAACGCTGCATGAAGATATTCTGAAAAACTCTCATTAAAAAAAAATCTGCATGTGTAGCTACATTGTTCATGCAATATGTCAACTGACATCGTTGCATGATTTCCATTAAAGTTGGAATACCTGCATTTGGCAAAGGATTCAACCTTTATTCCATGATAATTATTTATGCATATTTTAAGTAAACAGTGCGAAAATGTGTTTATTGCACATGATGCACTATTCCAAATTACTTTTTGCACTGTATGTTCCAATTAGAGGAAAATGTATTTAGCCATACATTGGTCATTTAAAATAATCCCTTCGTCATTTAATTGCTTTAATGCTTTCCCAGTGAACCAACAAGTGGGCAATTCCAGGACCAGCTGGCCGAGGGGGTCAGGCCCTATATTGATTTAATAGACTACCTGAGATCCATTGGGATTGATCAGGACCTACCACTGCCGGCTATTGCTGTGGTGGGAGACCAGAGTTCAGGAAAGAGCTCTGTGCTTGAGGCCCTATCTGGGGTGGAACTGCCCAGAGGGAACGGTAAGATACTCTGGTTCTGTGGGCCCAGTGTTATTATTGAACAAAAGGCTATATAGCAACTAGGTTAATCGAATATCCGAACTGACGTTAGTGTTCTATCACTTGAGTGAATGTTCATTTTTATTGTAAATTTTTTTAGGTCGATTTTGACAAAGCTTTGTTGTAAACTAAACTAGATTATCCTTGTGACATTGTTACCTACAAGGATATACTATGACATTTGAAATGTTTAATTTAATAAAACAACAAACTTTTTTAAATGTAGTTTTTATAAAAGCTGCTGCTGCGCATTTAGTCCTCTGGCCCTGACATTGGTATTTTCCCCCACTTCAAATAGCAATTACAGGCGCGCACCTAACAGAGTTTCCACAAGACCTGACACAGATTAATGCTCACCAGAAAACCTTTTTGTAACAGAATCGATTCTACCATGGTGAAAATCAGACTTCTCTTTCACTGTTGCTTTTAGCCAAAACTACTGCGAAAAGCAGCATGTCCGCTGTTTACCTCTGCGCCATTCTGATTGGTCAATAGAGTCAAGCGCATTTATTTATTTATTTAATTTACTTGAATTTCGACTATCCAGATATCCGGAAAAAATACATTTAGTCAGACATGATATTGGAGTTATAATGGTGTTGGATGTATTGGGTTGGTTGTATTGGGTTGGATGTATTGGGTTGGATGTATTGTGTTGGTTGTATTGTGTTGGTTGTATTGGGTTGGTTGTATTGGGTTGGATGTATTGGGTTGGATGTATTGGGTTGGTTGTATTGGGTTGGATGTATTGTGTTGGTTGTATTGTGTTGGTTGTATTGGGTTGGTTGTATTGGGTTGGATGTATAGGGTTGGTTGTATCGGGTTGGATGTATTGGGTTGGATGTATAGTGTTGGTTGTATTGGGTTGGATGTATAGGGTTGGTTGTATAGTGTTGGTTGTATTGTGTTGGATATATTGGGTTGGTTGTATTGGGTTGGATGTATCGGGTTGGTTGTATCGGGTTGGTTGTATTGGGTTGGTTGTATTGGGTTGGTTGTATTGTGTTGGTTGTATTGGGTTGGTTGTATTGGGTTGGATGTATCGGGTTGGATGTATCGGGTTGGTTGTATCGGGTTGGTTGTATTGGGTTGGTTGTATAGTGTTGGTTGTATTGGATGGTTGTATTGGGTTGGTTGTATAGTGTTGGTTGTATTGGGTTGGTTGTATTGTGTTGGTTGTATTGGGTTGGTTGTATTGGGTTGGTTGTATAGTGTTGGTTGTATTGGGTTGGTTGTATTGTGTTGGTTGTATTGGGTTGGTTGTATCGGGTTGGATGTATCGGGTTGTTGTATTGGGTTGGTTGTATAGTGTTGGTTGTATTGGGTTGGTTGTATAGTGTTGGATGTATTGGGTTGGATGTATTGGGTTGGTTGTATTGGGTTGGATGTATTGGGTTGGTTGTATTGGGTTGGTTGTATCGGGTTGGTTGTATTGGGCTGGTTGTATAGTGTTGGTTGTATTGGGTTGGTTGTATTGTGTTGGTTGTATTGGGTTGGATGTATTGGGTTGGTTGTATAGTGTTGGTTGTATTGGGTTGGTTGTATTGGGTTGGTTGTATAGTGTTGGTTGTATTGGGTTGGTTGTATTGGGTTGGTTGTATTGGGTTGGTTGTATAATGTTGCATGTCATTGGGTTGGTTGTATTGGGTTGGTTGTTTGGGTTGGTTGTTGTGTTGTGTTTGGGTTGGTTGTATTGGGTTGGTTGTATTGGGTTGGTGTATTGGGTTGGTTGTATTGTGTTGGTTGTATCGGGTTGGTTGTATCGGGTTGGTTGTATCGGGTTGGTTGTATCGGGTTGGTTGTATTGGTTGGTGTATGTGTTGTGTATTGGGTTGGTTGTTGGGTTGGTTGTTGTTTGGGTTGTTGTTGGTTTGGGTTGGTTGTATTGGGTTGGTGTATTGGTGGGTTGTGTTGTATTGGGTTGGTTGTATTGGGTTGGATGTCTGTGTTGGTGTACTTGGGTTGGTTGTCTTGGTTGGCTGTTTGGTTTGGTGTATTGGGTTGGTTGTCATTGGGTTTGGTTGTATTGGGGTTGGGTTTGTTTGGGTTGGTTGTTTGGGTTGGTTTTGGTTGGTTTTGGGTTGGATGTTTGGGTTGGTGTCTTGGGTTGGTTGTATTGGGTTGGTTGTATTGGGTTGGATGTATTGGGTTGGATGTATTGGGTTGGATGTATTGGGTTGGATGTATTGGGTTGTTGTATTGGGTTGGTTGTATTGGGTTGGTTGTATTGGGTTGGATGTATTGGGTTGTTGTATTGGGTTGGTTGTATTGGGTTGGATGTATTGGGTTGGATGTATTGTAATTTCATGTTAATTTCCAGGTATTGTCACCAGGTGTCCATTGGAACTCAGACTCTGCTATGTTAGCGGAGTGGATTGGAAGGCTGTCATCTCATACAGAGACAAATGTATTAATGTCGGTAACCCCTCAGAAGTCGAGAAACACGTTAAAGAAGGTTAGATTAAATGTTAATATTATAGTATTGCATATTTACATGCATTTTCTGATCATTTAGCCAGACATGTCTGATGTGTTTAGTACATGTAAACAATATTTACATTTGTCTGTAGATGACAGCAATGATGCTTTTGTGGATTTAATAATTGTCCCAGTTCGATATTGCCTGTTCGGGTGATTGGTCCAATCCATAACTGACTGTACCTTTTGAGGTTCTAGTGTACAGCTATATTTCTTCAATTTGATTTAACAGCCCAGAACGAGTTAGCCGGAGAGGGAGTGGGGATATGTCATGAACTGATCAGTCTGAAGATCATGTCCTCTTCAGTGTGTGACCTCACTCTGATAGACTTACCTGGGATCGCCAGAGTACCTGTGCAAGGACAACCAGAAGACATTGGAGCCCAAGTAAGACTTGATTTTGATAACTTTGGGATTCAAGTAGTGTGATCTCGGCATATTAATACCAAAAATATGTTACATTAACCACCCAGTGTCCTCTCAAATGTGCCATTACCAAGAACTGAAAAAAAAAACACGCCAATCATGCTCTTCTGGCTTTTCTCTAGATCAAAAGTCTCATTCTGAAAATCTTAGCAAAACAAAAAACCATTAACCTGGTGGTGGTGCCATGCAATGTTGACATAGCAACAACAGAAGCTCTGAAAATGGCCAAAGAAGTGGATCCTGAAGGCACAAGAACTCTGGGTAAAGAAATCATTTAAATGTAGATTAAATAATGATCATAATAACATACTACAGGAAAGGTATATTTGCACTGAAATGTCTTCAATGTGTTGTTGGTGTGCTCTAACCGTAACGCAATGTGTTGTTGGTGTGCTCTAACCGTAACGCAATGTGTTGTTGGTGTGCTCTAACCTAACAATGTGTTTTTGTGTGTGCTCTAAACCGAACGCCAATGTGTGTGGTGTGCTCAACCGTAGAGCAATGTGTGTTGGTTGTTGCCTAAACCAGTACCACGCAATTGGGCTTGTTGGTGTGCTCTAACCGTAAGCAAATGTTGTTGCGGTGTGCTCGTAAACAAACTTAACGCACAGTGTTGTTGGTGTGCTCATAACCAGAACGCAATTGTTGTTGGTGGCTCTTAAACCGTAACGCAATGTGTTGTAGGTGTGCTCTAACCGTAACGCATGTGTTGTTGGTGTGCTCTAACCGTAACGCAATGTGTTGTTGGTGTGCTCTAACCGTAACGCAATGTGTTGTTGGTGTGCTCTAACCGTAACGCAAAGTGTTGTTGGTGTGCTCTAACCGTAACGCTTTTCATTTCTGTCTTTTGTCTTAACAGCCATTCTGACAAAGCCAGACCTGATTGACAGGGGAACGGAGAAGGACGTGTTGGACATTGTTCGCAATAAAATCATCCCTCTCAATATGGGCTATGTTATTGTGAAATGTCGCGGTCAGAAACAAATTAACGATGGCGTCACCATAAATGAGGCAATTGAGGATGAGATGGACTTCTTCCAAAAGCACGACGAATTCAGGTGAACTGTTTACTTGTTTCTCGACATCTTGACACTCAGTTACTGTGTAAGTATGTATGGGAAATGTATGCACTCACTAACTGTAAGTCGCTCTGGATAAGAGCGTCTGCTAAATGAGTAAAATGTAGAAATGTAAATGTATGTTCTGCTACTATATATTCTCTCTCTTTTTCAATGTATAGCTCCCTCCTGCATGAAGAAAGGGCAACCACCAAGTGCCTAGCTGCTAGACTCACTCAAACCCTGGTCAACCACATACAAGTTAGGCCAACTTCTAATCATCTGTCCCTTATGCCTCGAGTTAGGAATGGAGGTAGTTCTTGCTTATGAGCACAGGTAGATAGTCCGCTTCCACATCCCACCCCTAGGGGGCAGTAGCAACCAGAATAGGTGCGTACGGCTTCTTTGAAAGACAATAATGTTATCTATCATTCAAAACGTGTTTTTGGCTTTCAGAAATCCCTGCCACAGATGTCTGATCAGATAAAACAGCAGCTGTGGGTTTCTCAGATGGAATTGACTAAGTATGAGGGTGGGCCTCCCGTGGATCCTGTAGAGAAGAGGAAGTACCTCATCGAGGTGAGTAACCACTCAACCTATCACCTGTCACCTTTCACATCAAGTTGCATTAGTATGAATCAGGAGCGGATTCCTTTTCAAACTAAAATAAAAATCTGAAGTTTGTAAAGCTGCTTTAAAAAAAATATCACCCGGCTATTTATTGTGTTCCGTTTTCCCCTCAGGTAATAAAACATTTCAATTACAAGATTGATCAGCTGTGCAGAGGGGAGCTGAAAAACGAGGAAAATCTATTCATCAACATGCAAAAAATATTTGCAAAATGGTTTGAAAAGCTTGGACACTCCAAAACAGGCTGTAGGTACAATTTTAAATAGATAAACAGGGTATTGTTGGGTTATTGCACAGGAATAACTATTTTCACTTTATTTCTGAAATATGTATGGGTTTGTACTGATACTACAGTGAGGGGAAAAAAGTATTTGATCCCCTGCTGATTTTGTACGTTTGCCCACTGACAAAGACATGATCAGTCTATAATTTTAATGGTAGGTTTATTTGAACAGTAAGAGACAGAATAACAACAAAAAAATCCAGAAAAACCCATGTCAGAAATGTTATAAATTGATTTGCATTTTAATGAGGGAAATAAGTATTTGACGCCCTCTCAATCAGAAAGATTTCTGGCTCCCAGGTGTCTTTTATACAGGTAACGAGCTGAGATTAGGAGCACACTCTTAAAGGGATTACTCCTAATCTCAGTTTGTTACCTGTATAAAAGACACCTGTTCACAGAAGCAATCAATCAATCAGATTCCAAACTCTCCACCATGGCCAAGACCAAAGAGCTCTCCAAGGATGTCAGGGACAAGATTGTAGACCTACACAAGGCTGGAATGGGCTACAAGACCATCGCCAAGAAGCTTGGTGAGAAGGTGACAACAGTTGGTGCGATTATTCGCAAATGGAAGAAACACAAAATAACTGTCAATCTCCCTCGGCCTGGGGCTCCATGCAAGATCTCACCTCGTGGAGTTGCAATGATCATGAGAACGGTGAGGAATCAGCCCAGAACTACACGGGAGGATCTTGTCAATGATCTCAAGGCAGCTGGGACCATAGTCACCAAGAAAACAATTGGTAACACACTACGCCGTGAAGGACTGAAATCCTGCAGCGCCCGCAAGGTCCCCCTGCTCAAGAAAGCACATATACAGGTTCGTCTGAAGTTTGCCAATGAACATCTGAATGATTCAGAGGAGAACTGGGTGAAAGTGTTGTGGTCAGATGAGACCAAAATGGAGCTCTTTGGCATCAACTCAACTCGCTGTGTTTGGAGGAGGAGGAATGCTTCCTATGACCCCAAGAACACCATCCCCACCGTCAAACATGGAGGTGGAAACATTATGCTTTGGGGGTGTTTTTCTGCTAAGGGGACAGGACAACTTCACTGCATCAAAGGGACGATGGACGGGGCCATGTACCATCAAATCTTGGGTGAGAACCTCCTTCCCTCAGCCAGGGTATTGAAAATGGGTTGTGGATGGGTATTCCAGCATGACAATGACCCAAAACACACGGCCAAGGCAACAAAGGAGTGGCTCAAGAAGAAGCACATTAGGGTCCTGGAGTGATCTAGCCAGTCTCCAGACTTTAATCCCATAGAAAATCTGTGGAGGGAGCTGAAGGTTCGAGTTGCCAAACGTCAGCCTCGAAACCTTAATGACTTGGAGAAGATCTGCAAAGAGGAGTGGGACAAAATCCCTCCTGAGATGTGTGCAAACCTGGTGGCCAACTACAAGAAACGTCTGACCTCTGTGATTGCCAACAAGGGTTTTGCCACCAAGTACTAAGTCATGTTTTGCAGAGGGGTCAAATACTTATTTCCCTCATTAAAATGCAAATCAATTTATAACATTTTTGACATGCATTTTTCTGGATTTTTTTGTTGATATTCTGTCTCTCACTGTTCAAATAAACCTACCATTAAAATGATAGACTGATCATTTCTTTGTCAGTGGGCAAACGTACAAAAATCAGCAGGGGATCAAATACTTTTTTCCCTCACTGTATACACAGATGTAATGTTGGTAACTGTGTAAGCATGCACCACCGCATAAATCAATTCAAATATGGTAATCATAATACTGATTACCATAGTAACGTAACACAATAGTATTAATGGCTCATTATTTTAATTTTTTTTACACAACATTATGAACTTCCTTTTCTTATATTTCCCTCAATTTAGACCACAAAATGACCCAAGATGTGGTCAATGAATTTGACCAGAACCACAGGGGAAGAGAACTTCCAGGTTTCAATGACTACACTTCATTCGAAAGGGTTGTTCAGGAACTGGTGGGGGAACTGAAAAATCCAGCTATGGAGACACTACAGAAAATCAAAGGCACGTTCACGTTATTTCTTTACTGTTCTCCACTCACTTTTTGTTTTGTTTTTAATACACCAATAGTTGGCAAAAAAATGTTTCATCTTGTCAGAGCTTGAGGGACAGTGAGTGACCAGAAGATAAACATGTTTCATAATGTCATAGCTTGAGGGACAGTGAGTGACCATCAGATAAACATGTTTCATAATGTCATAGCTTCAGGGACAGTGAGTGACCATCAGATAAACATGTTTTATCATGTCATAGCTTCAGGGACAGTGAGTGACCATCAGATAAACATGTTTCATCATGTCATAGCTTCAGGGACAGTGAGTGACCATCAGATAAACATGTTTCATCTTGTCACAGCTTCAGGGACAGTGAATGACCATCATATAAACATGTTTCATCTTGTCAACCAGCTTCAGGGATAGTGAGTGAACCATCAGATAAAACATGTTTCAATCTTGTCCACAGCTTCAGGGATAGTGAGTGACCATCAGATAAACATGTTTCATCTTGGTCACAGCTTCAGGGACAGTGAGGTGACCATCAGATAAACATGTTTCATCTTGTCACAGCTTCAGGGACAGTGGAGTGACCATCAGATAAAAATGTTTCCATCTTGTCACAGCTCAGGGACAGTGAGTGACCATCAGATAAACATGTTTTCATCTTGTCACAGCTTCAGGGAAGTGAGTGACCATCAGATAAACATGTTTCATCTTGTCACAGATTCAGGGATAGTGAGTGACCATCAGATAAACATGTTTCATCTTGTCACAGCTTCAGGGACAGTGAGTGACCATCAGATAAACATGTTTTATCTTGTCACAGCTTCAGGGATAGTGAGTGACCATCAGATAAAAATGTTTCATCTTGTCACAGCTTCAGGGATAGTGAGTGACCATCAGATAAACATGTTTCATCTTGTCACAGCTTCAGGGACAGTGAGTGACCATCAGATAAACATGTTTCATCATTGTCACAGCTTCAGGGACAGTGAGTGACCATCAGATAAACATGTTTCAATCTTGTCACAGCTTCAGGGACAGTGAGTGATCATCAGATAAACATGTTTCATCTTGTCACAGCTTCAGGGATAGTGAGTGACCATCAGATAAACATGTTTCATCTTGTCACAGCTTCAGGGACAGTGAGTGACCATCAGATAAACATGTTTCATCTTGTCACAGCTTCAGGGACAGTGAGTGACCATCAGATAAACATGTTTCATCTTGTCACAGCTTCAGGGATAGTGAGTGACCATCAGATAAACATGTTTCATCTTGTCACAGCTTCAGGGACAGTGTTTGACCATCAGATAAACATGTTTCATCTTGTCACAGCTTCAGGGATAGTGAGTGACCATCAGATAAACATGTTTCATCTTGTCACAGCTTCAGGGATAGTGAGTGACCATCAGATAAACATGTTTCATCTTGTCACAGCTTCAGGGACAGTGAGTGACCATCAGATAAACATGTTTCAATCTTGTCACAGCTTCAGGGACAGTGAGTGACCATCAGATAAACATGTTTCATCTTGTCCACAGCTTCAGGGGACAGTGAGTGACCATCAGATAAACATGTTTCATCTTGTCACAGCTTCAGGGACAGTGAGTGACCATCAGATAAACATGTTTCATCTTGTCACAGCTTCAGGGACAGTGAGTGACCATCAGATAAACATGTTTCATCTTGTCACAGCTTCAGGGACAGTGAGTGACCATCAGATAAACATGTTTCATCTTGTCACAGCTTCAGGGACAGTGAGTGACCATCAGATAAACATGTTTCATCTTGTCACAGCTTCAGGGACAGTGAGTGACCATCAGATAAACATGTTTCTCTTGTCACAGCTTCAGGGACAGTGAGTGACCATCAGATAAACATGTTTCATCTTGTCACAGCTTCAGGGATAGTGAGTGACAATCAGATAAACATGTTTCATCTTGTCACAGCTTCAGGGATAGTGAGTGACCATCAGATAAACATGTTTCATCTTGTCACAGCTTCAGGGATCAGTGAGTGACCATCAGATAAACATGTTTTTATCTTGTCACAGCTTCAGGGATAGTGAGTGACCATCAGATAAACATGTTTCATCTTGTCACAGCTTCGGGGTAGTGAGTGACCATCAGATAAACATGTTTCATCTTGTCACAGCTTCAGGGACAGTGAGTGACCAGAAGATAAACACCACAGCTTCTTTGGAATGGTACATCATATTAACTATCTTTACCTTTTTCTACAGTTCGACAGTGTAGTGCCATATTGTAACTGTTTGATCTTGTACAGCTTAGGCCTGAAGTGTCATCAATAAACATCATCTTGTAATTGAATGGAATAGTGCCCTCAGTGACACATTTTATTTGTCACAGTTAGGCGAGCACCTTTAAACATGTTTCATCTTGTAATTGGGGGGGCATCGTTTTTCAGTCACAGTTCAGGACAGTTTTTAGTGACCAAAAAGTTTGCTCTGGTTATCCTGCCTTCATGGTTTCATGGTAAAATAACATGTGACAGGGTCGGGACATAGACATCATACACTGTTTTCATTCGTCAACCAGCGTTGATTGACCATCATATTAATTTTCAGTACAGCGTGGGACTAAAACCTATTTGGAAATTTACGTTTTTACCTTGTTTTTATTTCCCTTACTTTTTGTTTGAACGTCTTTGGGCCGAAACAATCGATGACATCCAAAACAGCAGACCTTTTGGATTGGGAAAAGGACTCAAGGACATTTTAGATGGGAGAGCACCTTTTAAACATGATTTATTCTTTTTCCCATGATACAGAGCAGTGTGGACCAAAAAGGGAAAACCGACCTCTCATGGTTAAGAAGGCGAGGTAGCATAATACCCCTGAACTGTCATCATTTATTACTATAGGTTTCAACCCACCTATTCTCCAACATGGTTGTATCCAAAGTACATCATCCTACTCTGTTTTAATTAGACAGCAGGATGACATCCAGAACAGCATACCATTGCAGGCACCGGACAAGGGCAGTGGGTGGAAAATTTCATTTTAAAGAAAATGCTTTGGCCTGGTGCCAGCAGTAGGAACCCAGGACCCCTCAGTTAAAAAAATCCCAACTGCTAATTCATACTTTTGTGTCTACCCAACCTACTCCAACATGGAATCCCAAAGTACGTAGCTATGTCTAGATATAAAACGCAGAGGATTGTGCCAGAAGACTAAAATCATGCCACCCTCTAAATGCATTGATAAAAACTTGCTCATTTTTAAAGCAAGTTGGGTGGCAGCAGTATGAATCCCAGCTAGTTAAAAAAATACACATTTTTGTTTTCTAAGCATATCCCTAACTCTACTAACCTTAGTGGCTAAAATACCTAACTAATTAACCACCACTAACTAACCCATAACCACTCGATCACTTGCTAGCTCTGATGTTCACATGCTAGCTTTGACGAAACCAATGTTTACATCTAATCGTTAGTCCTCACCCTGGGTCTCACTCAACCAATTCCTCTCCCTCCCTCCCGCTTCCTCACTCCTCAACTCCTCACTCCCAACTCTCCGCACGCTCACCTCCATCCTCACTCTCTCCCCTCCCTCCTCACCTCTCTCCCTCCCTCCTCCAACCTCTCCTCCCACTCCATCGCCCTCACTCCTCCTCCCAACTCTCTCATCCCCACCTCTTCCGCTCTCCTCACCTCTCATCCCTCTCTCCTCCCACCTCTCCCTCCCTCCTCAACCTCTCTCCTCCCTCCTCAACTCTCTTCCCTCCTCCTCAAACTCTCTCCCTCCCATCCACTCCCAACTCTCTCCTCCCTCTCAACTCTTCCTCCCTCCTCACCTCTCTCCGTTCCCTCCTCAACTCTCTTCCCTCCCCTCCTCCCTCCTCACCTCTCTCCCTCCCTCCTCAACTCTCTCCCTCCCTCCTCAACTCTCTCCCTCCCTCCCCGCCTCAAACTCTCCCCTCCCGCTCAACTCTCTCCCTCCCTCCCGCCTCAACTCTCTCCCTCCCGCCTCAACTCTCTCCCTCCTCCCACTCTCTCCCTCACCTCCTCACCTCTCCTCCGCCTCACTCTCTCTCCTCCCCCTCACCTCTCTCCCTCCCGCCTCACCTCTCTCCCTCCCGCCTCACCTCTCTCTCCCATCCCCCTCAACTCTCTCTCCCTCCACTCTTCCCCTCCCCCTCACCTCTCTCCCTCCCTCCTCCCCTCCCTCTCCCTCCCTCCCCTCCTCCCTCCCCCTCACCTCTCTCCCTCCCTCCTCCGCCTCACCTACTCTCCCTCCCTACCTCACCTCTCCGCCTCTCCCTCCTCACCTTCCTCCTCACTCTCTCCTCCTCCCACCTCTCCCCTCCCCTCATCTACTCTCCCCGCTCATCCTCCTCCCGCCTCACTCTCTCCTCCCGCCTCAACTCTCTCCCTCCCCGCCTCCCTCTCCCCACTCTCTCCATCCCTCTCCCTCGTCCCCCTCCCTAGACTCTCTCCTCCCGCCTCCCCTCTCCCCTCCCCACCTCTCTCTCCCCTCCTCCTCCCTCCCACTCCTACCCTCCTCCCGCCTCAACTCTCTCCTCTCCCCCTCAACTCTCTCCCTCCCGTCCTCCTCCCTCCTCACTCTCACCTCACGCTCACTCTCTCCTCCCTCACCTCCTCACTCCCCTCCCTCCTCCCTCCCCCCTCCCTTCTCCCTCCCCCTCCCCCCCCCCCCCCTTCCCCCTCCCTCCCCCCCCCCCCCCCCCCCCCCCCTCATTCCCCCTCCCGCCTCAGCCCCCCCCCAAACCCCCCCCCCAACCCCCCCCCAAAAACCCCCCCCCCCCCCAAAAAAAAAAAAACCCCCCCCCCCCCAAAGGCCCCCCGGGGGCCCCCGCCCCCCAACCCCCAAAAAACCCCCCCAAATTTTTCCCCAAAAAAAAAAAAAAAAAACCCCCCATTTAAAAAAAAATTTGAAAAAAAAATTTTTAAAAAAAACCCCGGAAAATTTAAAAAAAAAAAAAAAAAAACCAAAAAAAAAGGGAAAGGGAAAAAAAGAAAAAACCGAACCCAAAACCCCGGGTTTTAAAAAAAACCCCAGAATTTAAAAAAAAAAAGGGGAAAAAAAAAAAAGGGGAAAAAAAAAACCCCCGCCCCCCCCCCCAAATTCCCCCCCCATCTGGGCCAAGTAGGGTGCCCGGCAAAAACGGCCCCAAATCTCTACGCACACTCCTCCTCCTCATTCCTACCTCCCGCTCTTCCCTCCCGGCCTCACCTCTCTCCCTCCCTCTCACCTCTCCCCTCCCCTCCCGACTCAACCTCTTCCCTCCCTCCCCTCCCTCTCACCTCTCTCCCCCGCTCAACTCATCTCCCTCCCCCCTCACCTCTCTCCCTCCAGCCCTCACCTCACTTCCTCTCCCTCCATCTCTAATCACTCCCCCATCACCTCTCCCCTCCTCCCCCCTCACATCTCCCCCTCCCTCTCCCTCTCTCCCCCTCCCTCCCTCTTCACCTCTCTCCCTCCCTCCTCACCTCTCTCCCAGATAGTGGTGCAGCGACTGGCGGACCAGGTGCCCATGCTGATCCGTTACTTCATCCTGAAGGAGTCAGCCAGGATCCTGTCCAGTGAGATGCTGGGTGTGCTGAACAGAGAAGACTTGGACGAGATGCTGAAGGAGGAATCAGAGATTGGCCGGAAACGTGAAGCCTTGCGGGAAAAAGTAAAGCGCCTTGGACTGGCGAATGACAAGATCAGTAGCCTCTGAGAACAGAATGGTTGACATTGTGATATAGCCAACGAGGGCTGAATGACTGTCCCACAATAATTTTACCTGCAATTAATCAACATACAGAACATTTTAAAAGATGGACATTTTAATGCTGTCAAACTTGGGATTCAGAGCATTGAAAATGATATGATCATTGTCACAGACCACAGCTATACTCTCAAGAGCTCTGGCCTGTTATACTATCATCATATATCCGCAAACGTTTTTAAATCTCAAAATGGACAAATTAAATATGTGAAGGCTGTTGATATTATTCAAACTGACAAATCGTCACTGACGTACAGTAAGTAAACCTTGTATCTCCAAAACGTAAACTTTTCAGGAAATAGAAAAACAGCCGTTCGTATTGATGATCATAGAATCACAAAACCTCAGAAGCTATTTGAGTACAGAGGGACTACTTTCAATTAATGTAAAAATGTTGATTAATTATTAATTAATTAATATTAATTAATGAATGGCAAAAATGGAGTTGCAGGGTTTTCTTTCGACAGCAACGAATGGAAATAGATGTGGTATCCCTTCCTTTTCTAATTGGTCGAAGGGGCATCAGCATTGAGAATGTTATAATAGCATAATTTATACTTGATGCCTGTTAGCAATTAACAATGGTGAAAATGGACATCCTTGTCTGGTTCCTCTTTGCAACTGGAATGGTTTAGATGTACCCATTAGTTACAGTGCCTTCAGAAAATATTCAGACCCCTTGACTTTTTCCACATTGTGTTACATTACAGCCTTATTCTAAAATGGATTTAAAAAACCCTCATCAATGTACACACAATACCCCATAATGACAAAGTGAAAAGAGGTTTTTAGAACTTTTTGCAAATGTATTAAAAATAAAAAACAGAAATATCGTATTTACATAAATATTCAGACCCGTTGCTATGAGACTCAAAATTGAGCTCAGGTGCATCCTGTTTCCATTGATCATCCTTGAGATGTTTCTACAACTTGATTGGAGTCCACCTGTGGTAAATTCAAATGATTGGACATGATTTGGAAAGGCACACACCTGTCTATATAAGGTCCCACAGTGCATGTCAGAGCAAAAACCAAGCCATGAGGTCGAAGGAATTGTCCGTACAGCACCGAAACAGGATTGTGTCGAGGCACAGATCTGGGGAAGGGTACCAAAACATTTCTGCAGCATTGAAGGTCCCCAAGAACACAGTGGCCTCCATCATTCTTAAATGGAAGAAGTTTGGAACCACCAAGACTCTTCCTAGACCTGGCCGCCCGGCCAAACTGAGCAATCGGGGGAGAAGGGCCTTGGTCAGGGAGGTGACCAAGAACCTGATGTTCACTCTGACAGAGCTCTAGAGTTCCTCTGTGGAGATATAAGAACCTTCCAGAAGGACAACCATCTCTGCAGCACTCCACCAATCAGGCCTTTATGGTAGAGTGGCCAGACGGAAGCCACTCCTCAGTAAAAGGCACATGACAGCCAGCTTGGAGTTTGCCAAAAGGAACTTAAAGGACTCTCAGACCATGAGAAACAAGATTCTCTGGTCTGATGAAACCAATTATGAACTCTTTGGCCTGAATGCTAAGTGTCACGTCTGGAGGAAACCTGGCATCATCCCTACGGTGAAGCATGGTTGTGGCAGCATCATGCTGTGGGGATGTTTTTCAGCGGTAGGGACTGGGAGACTAGTCAGGATTGAGGGAAAGTACAGAGAGATCCTTGATGAAATCCTGCTCCAGAGCGCTCAGGACCTTAGACTGGGGCGAAGGTTCACCTTCCAACAAGACAACGACCCTAAGCACACAGCCCAGACAATGTAGGAGTGGCTTCCGGACAAGTCTCTGAATGTCCTTGAGTGGCCCAGCCAGAGCCTGGACTTGAACCCAATCTAACATCTCTGGAGAGACCTGAAATGAGTTGTGCAGCAACGCTCCCCATCCAACCTGACAGAGCTTGAGAGGATTTGCAGAGAAGAATGGGAGAAACTCCCCAAATACAGGTGTGCCAAGCTTGTAGCGTCATACCCAAGAAGACTCGATGCTGTAATCGCTGCCAAAGGTTCTTCAACAAAGTACTGAGTAAAGGCTCTGAATACTTATGTAAATGTATATTTCAGTTTTCTACTTTTAATAAATTAGCAAACATTTCTAAAAACCTGTTGGGGTATTGTGTGTAGATTGATGAGGGGAAAAAAAAAAAAACAATTTAATACATTTTAGAATAAGGCTGTAACGTAACAAAATGTGGAAAAAGTCAAGGAGTCTGAATACTTTCCGAAAGGCACTATATATCTGCTGTTTTGAGATATTTGTATAGTAATTGTATTCAGTTGATTGTAAACAGACCTATTCCAGGGTGATTGTAAACAGAGTAGACTCTAGCAGAGCCTACTAAGGTTGGTCGAACTGCAATGAAATAGCAGTCAATTATTTAGTGAATTGGCTTTAGTTGTGGAAGAAATAGTCTGCTCACTCTACCGTAGGTGTGATTTTTGGATCTGAAATATTTACCTAAAAACAGACAGTGGGCTGTGTCTGTCAGGTAACATTATCATGCTCTTGAAATGGTAATCCATCAGCATTTACAGTATATTGGCGGTGAGAATGGATTTTTATTTATATCAATAAACTTTGGGTGGGTGAGTCAATAAAATGATTATTGCTTCTATGAATTGCATTCTTCAGATGTTTCAGGAAACTTGAATGTACTGGTTGCTTACTCAGTCAATGAAGGATGCTCTGATTGGCTCTTTTATCATTTCCTAATTATTAACTTGTGACAGGGAACTCTAAGGGCAATAATTTAAGGTCAGTGTAAGATGAAGGGACAATACCTGAGAGAGTCTGGGTTGATAGTGTGATTTCTTGTTAATTTATTATATTATGTGCATGTGTATTTACAAATTAGATGTTGCTTCCAAACATACTTTTTTTTTTATAAATGTAATAACAAAACACATAAATATGCCATATGGTATATGTGTGCCTATGATGCACAATGCCATTGTCCTACCAAATAAAATAAAATAAAAGTAGGAAAAGTCTTTACTTTTTCCAAGAGCGCACACTGGCACTCCAGAGTGAATTTACGAACACAACCCTTATCAGTCACAGGATGCAAGAGCAGTGCTTTCAATTGAGTACTATTGCTGACGTCAGCATTACCGCCCCAAAATTTGCATTTTCACACATAGGGGCACAGTTTTTACTTTAGCTACCTCTGAGCGACAGTATCTCACAATATCCAAATGAATAACACTGACATATATCAAACCCTATAACAAGTGGTTGATATAGACCTAAAATCACATAATTTACAGTGCATTCTGAAAGTATTTTCCTCAATCCACACACAATACCCCATAATGACAAAGCGAAAACAGGTTTTTGGAAATTTTTGCAAATTCATTAAAAACAATTTACATAAGTATTCAGACCCTTTGCTATGAGACTCGAAATTGAGCTCAAGTGCATCCTGTTTCCATTGATCATCCTTGAGATGTTTCTACAACTTGATTGGAGTCCACCTGTGGTAAATTCAATTGATTGGACATGATTTGGAAAGGCACACACCTGTGTGGTGTCGAGACAACAATGCTGATATGCTGTGATGACAAGAAATCCGCTGACACTGTCCTTGATTATAATGGTTTATTACATCAAAGATTACAGTATCAATTTACAGACTCCTGCAGAAATCCGGAGAACAACTGACCCAATCTCTAATATGTTATTCTCCCCGTCCTTTGTTCAAAACATGGTATTTATATCCTATGTAACATAATATGGCGTGATTTTAATAGACCAATCCCTGGCCTCTACATAGCAGACTCTCCTCTGTTTTAGGGGGCCCCTATTGTAATGTTTTCCAGATGTTTCCGCAAGCAGAATATGCAAACCTCAGCCAAAATCATAGACCCTTCAGATACTACATATTTCCCCCCTTCAAGACTAATTAAGTCTCGAAAACAAAAAGAATAGGATTATGACAAATAACAATTTTTATTACATCAGAATTCTTGTGTAACTTTAGCAATAAACCAACATTTATGGAGTGTAAACACATTTTTATATAGACACATTTTTTATGGAGTGTGAACAAATTGTTATGGAGTGTAAGCAAATTGTTATGGAGTGTAAATAAATTGTTATGGAGTGTAAGAGCGAAAAACCTATCTGGCAGCTTTCATTCCAAATATCCATCAATCAATCAAGACAGGAAAATTCTCACGGCCCCTCTGCCCCAGGCGACCACCTAAGTACTCCAGATCAATTTATAAATCTTTATCAATGCATTTTAAACTATGATGCAATTGAATACACATGAAAGCCTCAGAAAACAAAATACAATCAAAATTGTCCACATTCAGGCTGGTCGACCCATCGGACACTCCTGTGGATTCTCTCTGTCCCTGCCTAGACCCAATATCCCTAAGCATCCACGAAAAAAACAAAAACATCTGAGGTCCCCACATGTACCCAACAACAGAAAACATCATTCTTCAAAAAATGTATACAGAAAGAATATGACACAAATTATGTATTACACATGCAAATATGTCTATATATCATTGCAGACACTGGAATGTAGTCCACTACACTGCATCTTCTCAGCAGTGTCGACTTTCAATGCAACGTTGATGATGGAATCTGAACATTTCCACACCTTCCGTGTTGAACTTCCTCCAGTCCATTCATATTGTCCATGTTTGAGTATTTTAATCCCACTCTACACATTCCCCCATATACTTCTGGAAGAAAATAAAACACCAACCAGTATCTTTTGCAAAACAACACATGCAAATTAAAACATCAATATCAACAATAATATAAAAATGATATATAATATGAATCACATTCCATTTCCCCCCTTTGATTCATAAGAAAATACTAAATATCACAACAAAATGCAAAGAAATGCGAAAATCAAAATTTCCTAAAGTTACTTCAACCCTTGTTTACGTAACATTTTGATCTGAATTTTTTCCCCAAATTTTTGAAAAATCAA